TCTGAAGCTTATATGTATTCAGAACAAAAGCAGATGATATTATGGTAGCAGTTAGTACAATAATAATTTTTTTTTACAGTGTCCAAGAATATTTAAGTGACACAAACATCTTCACGTAATTTGCATGCCTATATGGTAAATATTGCTGATCAATCAATTTTGATGTAACATCATATTAATTATAGTACTGTACCAATGTTTCGCAAATAAATTATTTCATTTCATTTCATTTCAAAATAAAAATTCGTTTGCATTATTTATTTTCAACAACTCTACAGTGATTAATGTGCTCTTGTGCATGTATTGTGTTATTCTAAAACAACAATATAGAATCAAAATTCTTCATAAAAAAAACTTAGATCAAAGCACTTTTGAATAGTCATATGTACTTATTTTCATAATACACCGCTCATTCTGAAAGCTGTCGCATCGCAATAAGAACGAGCAAGAAACTTGTGTATTTATAATGCGCGAATACATACTAGTCTAGTACTAATTCATTAAAGTCAAAATATTAAATGCCCAACTAACTGGTTGAGTAACTAAATAAAAGTTTTATATATATATACCTATATATCTTTTTGTAATAGTGCACCTGCTCTCGTAACGGTTTATGCTGGTGGGGTACCGATGGAGGGTGATAAGGTTAGCTAAATAAGACTAAATCAGTCGTCGTGATTAGAGCAGACCAGACCCTACAAGTAGCACTCGTTCATGAATACATTCAATAATTATTATTTCACTTCAGGACTATGGGCATAGACTTAATTTTTATTTCCTGATATACTACAAAATTAGAAAACTGTATTTACTAAAGATCATAATGCGTCGTACAAAAATTTACAAGAATGATGATGTTCTCTTACCTACCGGCTACATGAATATAAATTTCATATCCGTACAAGGATTCTCGTACATTACCAACCCTAGACTATAGATGTTTAATAAGTAAATTATTGATATTCAATATTATCTGGATATTCTAGTTGTTACTCGTTACATAATTAGATAATTAATTATTTATACTGCATGTGAAAATCATGCTATTAAAATCACCGACATCGTTTGGTGACGGCTATTAAAGCTAAAGAAGAATATCACAGTATTACATTAAGACATGATAGAAAATATATACAATGTACATGATGGTTACAAAAAAACATGTCGTTAAACCTTGTTGAAATATTTGAAATTTAAATATGCACCATGTATGTTTTGAATGAAATAGAAAAATGAGAACGTTTCAAACTAGTCTAAATCTTAGTATGAATGGTGTTTTAAAACACGATTTATATTTATATATATCTATATATTTATTACTAATATATGTAGTCCCACTGCCCAGTAAAGGCCTTTCCCAATTGTTTCCATTTTTCTCTCTATTGCGCCATCTCGAACCAGCCCTGATAAATTGAGTTTAGGTCACCGCACCATCGATTTCTAGTTCGATAGATACAATAACACAAAACTTTTTTAAGCAAAATGTCGTTGTTTTTATTATACCTGACAAAGAATCATACGAAAATGTACCCACGAATATCGATATAACATACTGATAAATAATAATAGTAGTTTTGTACTTTGGTTAATTGTTGCTCAGAAATTTTGAAACGGCGTTAACAGTTTTGTGTAAATTGAGAAGAATGTAATTTGTTATTTGTAATACTACTAATCGTTTTCTGCAGCTTCGTCTGCTTTTTGTAAATACAAAGTAGCCTGTATTCGTCCTTATATATACTTATACAATATATCTTCAATCTACCTGAAATTTAATTAAGATCCACTCAAACGTTTAGCCGTAAAAAGGTAATAAACAACAGATACACTTTCCTAATTATAATATTAATGTGTTTAAATAATATTATTTTATGGTTTTGTGTCATTAATTTATACGCAGTCAAAGTGGGAGCGAGAGCTGTACCAGCGAATCTCTTTACAATTTTCTAAAAAATCTTGGCCTGTCTAGAACTGCAGTAGGTTCTATACTAGACCGTGTATCTAAAGCTACATTAGTAGATTTGGCTGGACAGGGAGAGAAACACAAGCGGTGATGTTGAATGTTGACGCACGTTGGCAAGGGGCTTCTTAAATCTACACCCGGGTCACAAGTCCCGTGCTCTGTGTTTCTCTCACTGCCAGGTGAGGAGCCGGATTCCCGCAAGGTGAATTTATGAAATGAGAGAAAGGAAATTATTAGTAATGTGGATTATAAACTCCATTGCTAGCAATGTAGCAGTTTGGTTGATCTCCACGTGGTTGCTGATTACCATCGTTACAGGTAGATCGTCAGCATTTTTACCATTCAAATTACATTAAAATAATCAATCAGTACAATATGAACTTAGAACACAAATTAAGTAGATATTACAATATTTGACGGCCTCGATAGTCTAGTGGTATAGTACACCGCTTTACTTCCGACGGTCGCGGGTTCAATTCCTCGCTCGGTACGAACATTTGTGTTTATGAATATGATTGTTTGTATCGGTGTGGGTGTTTTCTATGTATAATATATACGTATGTGTTTACAAAAAAGTGTCCATGTAGGTAAGTATAATGTCTAGTACCCATAAAACAAGTTCTTATTAGCTTGGGACTAGATGGCGTTATGTGAATTGCCCTCATATTATTATTATTTACACATTAAAATCCTTAGGTACCAATGCTTGATATATTCTGTTCGATGATTCAATCTGATATTAGCGTATGTAAAACAATAAATAAATAAATATTATTCCAATGAGGTGATAATATAATTCATAGAATATTTTAATGTTAGAGAAAAAAATGTATAACAGAAATTGGTATATGAATGTTTCATCGAATCTGAATTTCGTCAAAATTATTAATGCCCTAATAACTTTAACAATATTCGGAGTATAGGACGGAGAACTAAGATGTCATATCTCTATATCTATGTATATGTAATATGACTGCCATATCTTAACTTTAAACTAATATCTTACTAAGTAAGCTGCTTGAAATAGGTGCGACAGAGGTATCCATGTAAACAACTTTATACAAAGTCTGCCTCGGTAGTAGAATCATTACATAGTATAAAACAAAGTCGCTGTCGCTGTCTTTCTGACCCTATGTATACTTAAATCTTTAAAACTAAGCAACGGATTTTAAAGCGGTTTCTTTTAATAGATAGAGTGATTCAAGAGGAAGGTTTATATATATAATACATGTACACCCGTGCGTAGCCCGGGCGAGTAGCTAGTAGAATATAAAATACACTTACAATAACAAACTTTTGAATAGTCATCACATATTTATTTTAGTCTATCGCTCATTTGAAATGCTGTCACCACAAATAGAATAGATTAGAATAGAAAATAATTTATTCAAATAAACTTAATTAAATCACTTTTGAATAGTCGTAACAATTGTTTTTTATCTACCACTCATTCGGAAAGCTGTCTCATCACAAGAAATTTGTGTGTTGCTCTTTTAAATAATCCTTGTAAGTTCACATTTACACATCGAAACGTGTGAATACAAACTACCAACCAGCACTAATTTTTTTGGGTCAAATATAAATATACAATAAGATTAAATCAGTCGTAGTGATAAGAGCAGACCAGTCCCTACAAGCAGCACTCGTTCACAAGTATGACGAATGAGCCAGCCATCACAGCGCTGGACAAAAAGAATATATGTACAAAAATTCCCATTAAGAGCCATCAACACATCCTTTCTCAAACAACATATTCAATTTGGCTCAAGATAAATAAAGCTGCATACATAAAAAACATGATAAAAGGCATTTTCATGGATTAGTGGAGATTACCTACTGAAATTGTGTTTTTTGGTATAGTTCCTCCATCATGGTAAACACAGTCTAAATCCACGTATCTAGTGTGATTGTGATATACAATAATTAAATAAATATACAGCGGAATATTTACTTCATGAAAAATATAAAAATAGTTCAGTAAAATATAGGTTTACTAGTAGTAAGAATAAGACAATAATACTCCTGGACAATTTACACAACGCCACCAATTATATTATCGATCCCCCGTCCAATTTAAATGGGGATCAAATTACGACGGTCTGGGCATAGGTTCGAAAACCTAGCGGTACCCTCAGACTAAAGTCATATCTGTCAGGCGGGTGTTAGCCTTCAGCCGCTCCATAAGTCCTCCGCAGATTTAGAGTGCCATCTGCACTCGCTCCCTATCTTCCGGTGAAGCTGTAAAGGCGGCTGCATCAACAGCATTAGAGTAGTCCGAAGAAAAAATCAAGTCCCAAGCTAAGGGGAGCTTGTGTTATGGGTACTAGACTACTGTCTTGGGGCAACTGTAGTTTGCTGTATGTTCCGACTTCTGAAGTACCTCATAAGTCGTACCGTAATTTTTGTTCGTACCATCTGGTCAACCATTAGGTAGAGCGAAAGTTTTAAGTCTGAATCTTGAATAATGCTGAAGCGTTCCAGCGACTATACTTTTAAGGAGTCAGGTTTAGCTGTTGTCGATAGTACATTCGTTTTAGCATCGAACAGAGAATATTTATTTTAGTTAGTTACTAAAAATGTAATATTTTATTAATAAATTAAATTTAAGTTAAATATAATTTGGTATACCCGCTGGATGCGACTACCGTAATTCATATATATTCCAATATTTACTAAATAGAAAATAAATTTAAAATAAACATATTATTAAATTACCTTGTTTTGTTCCTATGTAGTAAAAATACTCCAGATAGCGTTTGATTGATTATTTCTGTCTAAAAAAATACTAAAATAAAAGTACATCTCTAAAAATTTAACAGTCATCTATTTTGTAAGTCAAGTTAATACGTAGTTGGGCTGAAAATAGATTTATCTATAGTCAAATCCGTGCTTTCTACATCAGAGACTGGTGTCTTGTTTTATCTAGTAGATAAGATAGAATTGAGAATGATAATTTCGTAAATATACAACCAATGTCATTTCTGTAATTATTCTCAGAGCTAAGAAACACCACATACTCGTAAAACGACTGGATTGTGAAATGGGTGTTTTCAGTGAAATTAATATATTTCCATCGCCCAATGTGATCCAAGAAGCTGGAAGTGATTTATTTGGAGTTATAAAATACACAGTTGATGAAGATACTATATTTAATGAAATTAACATCTCGTTAAATGGAAGTGGTTCGTTAATTGTGATTGAAAGTGTAAGATCAGGTGATAGACAAACTGAAAATGTTTTTAGATATGCTGAAAACTACATTAAAATGAACAATTTAATTGTTAGTCATGATACAATTACTCCAATCGGCGTGTACGAGATTCCATTCCATTTTAAACTACCATCTAATATACCATCGTCATTGAAATATAACACGGTTAATGGTAACTACAGAATAGACTGCACTATTGCTTATAACGTAACTGTTGTATTTAAAAGAAGTTGTTCTTCAAATTTTAACAACACAGTTATAAAAGCTGTCCATATTGAATCAGGGATCACACCAAGATTACGTATGACGCCAATAACGTATGGTCATCAGAAGAAAATATTACAACTGTTCAGTAAGAAGAATGGAGTAGTGAATATAAAAGCTGATATACAAACATGCATCGTTGAACCAAATGGAAAAGTAAAACTGTCTTACATAATAAATAATGACACAAACGTAACCGTAAAATCGGTTCAAATAAAACTAGTCGAACAGTATACATTTTCTGATAAAGTGACGAGTAAATTAGTAGACTATAATGATATAATAGATACGAAATCAAAAACTGGCAGAATCAAAAGTGGCAATACTCAGTGTATGGATATAGAAATAGATTTACCTTCAGGGTTGACTACAATTGAATTTTCTAAATTAGTAATGAGAAATTATTTCATTTATGTCACAGTTGTGCTTCCATTTCCTCATTCAAATATAATAATGAAAATCCCAATACAGATAGGATATGAGACTGTAAATGATAATATGTACGATGGACCACCAGCGTATTATGACGCAATAAAAACAGATGCTGTTAAGTCATAACACTTACAGAATTAGACAATTTAAACAATTTCAGATAAAATTAGGTGTAATTAAGAATTCTATTTTTGGAGCACATGCTTAAAATAAACAAAACATGTGAATTCTTTATAAAGGAAACACTACATCTCATGTATTTTGTACATTGTGTATATTAAATTATACAGACAATTTAAAAATTAAATGTAAATAATTACTATGTATGTAAAAGTATTTAAAATAAATATGTCTTTATAAATTAATGTTAATTAAATAGTATACGAGCCTGTATATCTTGATATACTACCTATTTATGAATTTTTAAGTTAATTGAATTTGTATCTCCATTATTATATAATAATACTTAAATAATTTATAAATCAAGATATTTGTTTAATTTCTATTAATGGTCTAAGTTACAACGTATTTTCTCTTGGTTTTCTTTCATAAATTCGACATATACTATTAAGTACGTTGCAAATAAAGTATATTCTATATATCTATCTATCTATCTAAGAAATTAAAATACCGTGGTAGATTCGTAGGTAATTCGCTACCTACTACTATTTGCCATATGGGTCAAAGGCAATATATGACATTATAATAAGTGAATAATCACTTAATTTCTTCCAAATTTCGTTACCAAAGCTGATTACTTAACATATACTTTGATATCGATAATACGGTTAGCGACGTTAAAATATATATATTTTTATGATGAATTAAATAACTAACTCATCAAACCTTTGGAGTACAAAACAGTAGAAATAAACTAGATATAATATACAAAATTGTATAAATTTATGGTTCAAAAGAAGAAGAAGGAGATTCTGTTTTCTCTATGTCTATAAAGGTTTCATATAACGGCTGGAGGGACTAGTATGATTTTCATAGAGTTGTTAAATATAACCTCTGTATGTTGTAATAAAACAATATCCATCTTAAATAAATACTTTTAGTGTATACTTTGTAATATGCTACCAATTACATTATAAAATTTATTATCTAAAAAATAATAGATGTATATATATATACATATATATATATCTAACCGATCGTGTTTATGTGTGTACTAATAGTATACACAAATAATATACATATATATATACACAATATATACAAAATTAGTACAACTCCTGGAACATGATTTTGTAACCATCGGTTGTGGTACAGACTTTAGAAAATAGAGATTTGTTATCGCATTTAGACACATGTCGTTTTACAAAGTTGCCTGGAAGAGTTCGTTATTTAGTGATAAGGCCGCCCAGTGTTATCTCTTTGTCTTGCTTATGGTAATAATATGTGTTTATCTTATCTACATCATTATTCATATAACTGTATGCTCTTTGACAGAAAGAATGATTTTAATTTTAATTCATAAACCACGTGCTAAAAACGTTTGACAGCAGCGGGCTTGATATAAAATTGCAATACTAAAAATACAGTAACATTTTTTTATTACTATTTTATTTTTATTCTTTCTGTTGTATAAATACAAAACTTTTATTGAAATAAAATAACTGATTTTAACAGATAAAATGAGAAATGTGTATGTTGTTAGTTGTTTAAATGCCAGAATTTCTATATACTATATAAACAAGTACAGGTAAATAAGTAAACAATTTTGGCAGACAAATTTTTGTCTGCTAATATTGTTTACGGTGTTTACTTCTTTGGAGAATCAGTCATAATCTGTTTTTTCTTTATATCATATATTTGGAGTCGGCGTTATATGTTTTTCTCTTCAATTATCCCTGTATCGCAGTCATCTTGTTATTCACACCATTTCTTGCCATCTTTTACATAGTCCATCTACCTCTTTTCAGTTTTCTCTGACCCATATCCACAGTCAGTGTTATAAGATAACACTCTCTTTAAGATATTATCTTCATTCCTATGCATTACTTGCCCATACCAAGACTGATGATGCTCTACAACTTCTCCTATACTAGCGCTACTTTCATACTTTTTATCATACATTCATTCTTAATCTTATCATTAATTGTCAAGTCACACATCCATCTCAACATTCACATATCAGTTGTATGCACTTAATCCTTCGCCATCTTTAGAGAGTCAGCAATAAATATAAATTGACACATGACGATTTTTTTCGTTTTAACTAGATTAGAACTCACAGCCTCTCGAGTCTAGATCAGGTAGTAAACCATTGGACCTTTATGTTCAAAAGTAGTATTAAAAAAATACGTAAATATCCATGAATAAACGCTTTTGAGTTTTTAATGCCCATCAAACGGCATCGATTAAGTAGCGATAGCATATTTGTTTATTATTCAACGATAAATAAAGCAGTTATCTGTTTTACGTAACCAAAAGATTATAATCATATAAATAATTTACTTGATAATCATATTATAGCTATATGTAGTTCTTACGTCTTTCGCTATTATTTTTTCTGAAATTATAAAATTAGGTGTGCAATTTTGTTACATTTAATGCAATATCTTTGAAATTATTTCAATCAATAAATTCTAAAGTATGTACATATTAATATTATTGGGCATCGATAAATTGGATCAATCTATGGGGTGTACATTAATTTCCCATAAACAACTTTCCATTCAATCGCCAAATGAATAGTACCATAGTCACTCTACAGTCTACACCGAAGTCAAGTTATCTATTCGGCCTATTCATAAGTAAGCCGGAATTGCGGTGTATGAGGGTTAAATTGGACCGGTAGATACATTCAAAATCTATCTTGATTTCGCTACACACGAGACAACTCAGTCAACTCATTTGATCGTATCATCCGTAGTCATAGTGTCCACGGATTATATGATTAAATATTGATTAAATTAAGCTAAGTTTATTTCATTTCACCGTCATGATATTGGCAGGTAAAGAATAGCTTTTCCGTCATAATAAAAAAAGAGAATTTATTTTTATACGTACCTGTGCTTCGTAGAGAGATAACTAATCTATCTCATCATTTAAAAGCCACGCTCTTGTCGGCGGAGCTCTTGCTATTTCTCACGTCCTTACATCGTCCTTAAATCATCACGTATTTACATCATCCTCTTTAAATGTTGATTATGAAGTAATCTAACCATAGGTATAAAAATAAATCCCTATTTCCCTTGGTCAGGAAATCACGCGTGAATGATGGGACCCATTTCGCTAATTCTTTCTTGTGTTTATTAACATTCTTATGATAGAAAATTGCGAATTCAATATTGATAGTTAACACAAGACAACGTCTATAAAATCAGCTAGTAAGCAGTAATTCCCTATAAGAGGATCCGTAAAATAATTAATTTCCTCTCTATTTTTTCTATTAATATTCACAGATATTTAAGTTAAGTCGCATAATTGATTTCACGATGACATGAACAAAGAACCAGATAGACAAATATTTCCATGACGTACAGACAGCCGATATTTTTGTTACATTTATAAGCATTTATATAATTCAATATATATATGTATGTATTTATAGTCACTGTTTATTACTTTTATCATAATAAATAACAGTATTTAACAACCAATAGTAGATAACTCGCGTGTTTTTGACGATCGATCAACTCAGTAGGACTGTTTTCGCGCTAAAGTTTAGTATAAAATGGGTGTTATATGTGAAATAAACGTGTTTAAATCTGACAATGAAGAATTCAGACCAGGAGATGAAGTATCAGGATTAATCAGATACGCGGTTGATGATACAACTGTATTTCATAAAATAACAGTTTCTTTGAAAGGACACGGCCGTTTACGTATAGTAAACACAGAAAGGAAACATAATCGTGAATACACTAATAAAGAAGAATATGTAGATATTGATAATGTTATAGTTGGCAATGAAAATTTATTGTTGGTGTCCAAAGGAAACGGAACTAAGGAATACGAAACAAAGTTTAGTTTCAAACTTCCAGAAGATATACCACCTTCGTATGTGTACTGCAGTAACAAAGGTGGCTACTACATAAAATGTAAGATATTATATTATATTAGAATTAAATTTAAAAAATGTGGTGTGTTACCGTTGCCTAAAAGGTTCAAGAAAGAGATTACAGTAGGAACAGCGTTTAAACCTACTTTACCAAAATCTCCAGTTATTTACGGCGAGCAAAGGAAAATAGTGAAATTGTTCCCCAGTAACAATACAATAAGTATAAAAGCCGATATCGAAAACTCAGTGATTAAATGCGGTGAAATTGTGACTTTTGGTTATGAAATATTAAATAACACACACGTGGAATTGAAAGGTGTTAAAGTGAAATTAGTGGAAGTACACTCGTTTAAGGCAAAAGGTTTGCATCGTGTGAAAAAAGTTACAAATATTGAAGAATCAACTTCTAGGACACCTGCAATACAACGTGGTGGTACTCAGAAGCTTGACTTTGCGATTGTTGTACCTGTTGACAGAAAAACAATGCAACATTCTTCAATAGCATCTATAGATTATTTTATTAGAATTAAAGTATTGTTACCAATGTTTAGACAGAATTTTACACTTGATATACCTATTGAAGTTGGTGATGAAATGTTAGATGAAGCTGTATGTCTTGATGCGCCACCACCATCGTATTGGGAAGTGATGGGAGAATGTGAAAAGAGAAAAATATTCGGTGATGATGATTATGAAACTGACGATGATATATAAGACATTTTTAGATATTAAATATTTATTTTAACTATGTGTTTTTGTATCGCAAATTATCAGAAAATAATCAAATGCAATAATCTAAGAAAACCAATTAATGATTTGGGTTATCTGGTGCAGACTGGATATAACTAGGTATTTATATATATATATATATATATATATATATATATATATATATATATATATAAATCTAATTTCAAATTTGATACAAACAGTTGCAGTTGTTTGATAAATGAAAAGGTTTATCCTATTGAAATAATAAATGGAATATATATAACATATTTGAAAGTTATATTTATTTACTAGCTAGTCCGACTCGACTTTATACCCGTCCAACTATTTTGTTTTTTAATCAATTGGAATAAAACAACAACTGCATTTTAATAGAATTGTGTTCACGCAACGAAATTGTAATGTAGGTATTCTTCATTATTTAATTTTGTTCTGTCTCTATTCAGAGATCTTGCATCTTTCCTCACACAAGCGCGATAGCAATTGTTTCAATCTAGATTTTGCCGTGAATATTTATGTTCCACTCTATTCGGCTTGCTCTACTATTACAGTAAATATAAACCTATTTTTTCCCTTATTATTTATATATATAGTTTCAATAATTGGATATTTTTTTTAAATTCCATATTGTATTGGATTGTGTTTAAAAAACAGGTTGTCATTAAATACTTGAACGTATAACATATGTACGTACTTACATAAATCTTTTTTGTCCATCTGTTTGTTTCTTCTTACGGATCTCTGAAATGGCTGGACCGATTTTGATGAAACATTCACATGTAGATAGCTAATGTTAACGAACTCAGACTACTTTTATTTTAGATTTTTTTAAATTTTATTTCTTAAGACGTAGTCGCGGTTATGTGCTATATCAGGTTGACCGGTTCACATTGGAAACCATAGTAATAATATGTTTCATGTTTATTTATAAGTAGTACAGTTGCAATAAATAAATATATTACGATTTAACCAATCTAAACTAACCTGAACTCATGCTCATCTTAACATCCTCTACTGATTGTACTTAAACTCAAGTTTATACTAACATATAGTTAGCATGATAGATCCATCATGTCAACTAGTCTAAAGTTGATTTTTTATTTTAATAATTTAGCAATAAACAGAAAAGCAGAGAGGGTGGACTCATTGCTCCCACTGAGTTAACAAACCATAAACCGTTTTGTCTCGCTTAATATCTTAAATTTTGTTATAAGCAGCAATTGTAACACTTCATTATTTGAGACGAATTAAGATGATTATATTATTATTATTATTAAAGTTTAATTTTAGAAAGCTTAGACTTAAGCTTTTGACTTCATTCTCTGACACAGAAATTATTTGGAAAACTTCTTGAGATCGTCAGAAATTTGTTTATTTTATTTCTTCTCCTTTTTATTATTATTATCTATATTGAATAGAGATAGTGAAATAAACATTTCGCATCATTGAGTGGACCAATGAAGTGTCGATTGTAAGAAAGGACGCTCAGATATACGTGCCTTCCTTATACACTCGTTCTGTAAGCCGATTGAACGCTACAAGTGAAATTGAATTCACTTGTATTTGCAGGGAATGTGATAGAACTTTATCTATGACATTCACTGCAAATACAATTTTAACAGCTCTGTAAATCTAATAATAATAATAAGATGCACACGCCTCATACTTATTAACACACATACACAAATACATACACACACACACACACACAAACCACTACATGAACTTGATTTCGGCCCGTAAGTGCGGTATACGCCACGAAGCATAACAAACTAACAAAAGCTTAAATCTTATTCTTAATACTATAAAAGCGAAAGTTTATAAATATGGATGGACATTTGTTACTCTTTCACGTAAAAACTACTGAACGGATTTTGATCAAATTTTTCAGAAATAAAGCTTATGTATCACACAAGCTAGCAACAAACCACACAGCTAGCATGATATATAATTTAAACCTAAGTATTAAAATTAAGTAGAATAGAATAGAATAGGAAATCATTTATTCAAATAAACTTAATTTAAGCACTTTTGAACAGTCATAACAATTTGTTTTTTATTTACCACTCGTTCGAAAAGCTGTCTCATCACAAGAAGAACGTGCAAGAAACTTGTGTGTTACTCTTTTAAATAAGTCTTGTAAGTTTACATTTACAAGTCGAAACGTGTGAATACAAACTACCAATCAGCACTAATTTTTTTGGGTCCAATATAAATATACAATAAGATTAAATCAGTCACGAGTATGACGGATGAGCCAGCCATCACTGCGCTCGACCATATTTTAGGGAGCCCAATGACGCGGCCCATTACGCCGCCACATGTCTGGACATTTTAGTGAGCATGACTACTCATTCCACTCGACGACGTCACAGCTACAATAATTACTATATGGTAGTTATATATAATTCCTAGCCTGTTATTAAGTATACCAAGTGTTGTTCTTACTAGAAATTTAGAATTAGATAGCAAATTCTTACAGCAGGATGTGATCAGTATCTGTAGATAAAAGAAGTTGCGTGCACGATAATGATGGTAATGATACATCATTATTTTAAAGAACAACCCGTATATTTTATTATACATCCATATGGGAGTGGTCTACCTAGGCCAAGGGTCACTTCACACAAATAACATTAATTTTGTATATCTGATTGAATATGCGTCTCGTGATAAGGGCACGATAATAACGGCCTAGTGTCATATTGTCGACAAATCATATGATATCCTACCATGATTCATAGAAAACAGGTGTCTAATCTCTATGGTCAAATAACGTACAAACAAAACCTATAATTATACTATTGTTTTGGTTTTTGAGTCATACAGAACATAATATAGATTATATTGATAATATTTTTATCGTACCTAACTTCAGTGTTTCAGAAACGATAATAGATAGTGCTCGCGTCTATTTATTTGTAATATTACAATTTTAGTGCTGAATTTTGCTATCAAATGGGCATTTTCTGTTTAATAAACGTGTCTAAAGATGGCAATGATGAATTCGTTGCTGAAGATATAGTGTCAGGATTAATTAAGTACGCAGTCGATGAAAACACTACATTTAAAAAAATTACAGTTTCACTGAAAGGAATTGGTCGCATACGCATAATAAATAGACAAACTAAAGAATGCCCTGAATTCACTACTAAAGAAGAATATGTGGACATAGATAATGTGATAGTTGACAATGAAGTTACCCTACCTATAGGAGAGTATGAAACAAAATTTAGTTTTGAACTTCCAAAAGACATACCTTCGTCATTTGCTTACTGTAGTAGTGAATCTGATTATTACATAAAATGTAAAATATATTATTATATACGAATAAAATTTGATAGACCCGGTATACTGAAGTTACCTGTACGATACAAGAAAGTGTTTACAGTACGTCCATATTTGACTCCAAGCTTACCAAAAGAATTAACAATGTATGGCAAACACAAAAAAATAGTGAAATTGTTCTCAGGCAATAATACAATAAGCATAAAAGCTGGTATTGAAAATTCAGTAATCAGTGGTGGTGAAACTGTAAAATTTTGTTATGAAATATTGAACGATACAAATGTGACAATAAAAGGGGTTCAAGTAAAATTGGTAGAAGCGCATAAGTTCAAAGCCAAAGGATTACATTCTGTGAAAAGATTGAATAAGGTGGAAGGAACACAATCTAAGACAGCACAAATAAAAGGCGGCAACTCTCAAGAAATGGATTTTCAGATTACTATACCTACTGATAAGGCAACATTGCAGCATTCTAAAATAGCCGTTAGATACTACTATATTAACGTTAAGGTCCTGCTGCCATTATTACGACAAAATTTTACACTTCAAATTCCAATTGAAGTAGGAAACACAGTTGTTCCAGAAGTACCAGAAACTGAAGATTTTGAACCACCTCCATCATATTGGAAAACAATGGATGAGTGTAAGAACAGTAAATTGTTTGATGATGACTGGACAGATGACGAATTGTAAAGTAGTAATTTTATTTGACAAATTTACACTCAATTATCTTTATTTGCCTTTATCTATATGATATATATTATAATGATTATAAATATGGAAGTGACTTGTTATTTTTATTTATACATTTGTTTGTACTTTATTTTACTTTTTGGCATTTGTAATACTCGATTGGTATTATTCCATTTAATTAATATGATTTCATTGTAGCAGTTGAAATTCAGAATATAAAATTATATAGGTATTAAAGTAGTAAAATAACTTGAGAGTTTTATTATATTAATGTATAATTTTAATGGTAACAATAAAATAAATACAAAATTATTTTTATATTTAAAATACTAACAAACATCTGTTTACGATGTAAGTAGTAAATTTAATTAATTTGAAATTATTTTCAAGTGCATGCCAGACCCTTCGTCAGTAAAATGTTATCTGCGCCTGGGCCGTATTAAAAATTTTATCATTCGTGACATCGAAGCAATAATGTATTTTATCAAACTTTGATAAAAAAACAACAATCATGTAATGATTGTACTCCACTTTGTGTCTCTCCTTTTGTATGCCTTACAATAAACATCACGATTTGCATAAAAAAGCCTGTTATTGGTTTTTATTTTAACGGGTTACTAGCTTCTAATTTTGTACAGTTTCTGTCTGTTTGTTTAAGTAATATACTGAAATATTTACATATTCATTATAAATTAATAATTTTATGAACGATCAGCTGTGATATTTTATTTCGGTATATGACAGCATCTTTATGTATAGTGATGGAATAGTGCTCCCTAAAGGAACAGTGTAAGTTGCCGTGACACCAGTAATATTTTAGGACTATTATTCTCATCCAAACATTCTCCTGTAGTGTAAATTTTAGTTTAGTTAGCGCACACGTAGTCAAAGAAAGTACGTACTATAATTTCTAGGGGAACCAGCAAAATGTCCATCAGATATGGTATTTATAATAAAATTTCCTTCCGGAAATTATGAATATTTTTTTATAGCTTTATATTTTTTTAATTGCATATTATATTTTATAATTTTTATTGTCTTAGAGATTGAGTGATGTTTTATCAGTTCATATAGATGAAATGGCAATGACAAACCAAATGCCCATGATAAACACATGCTGAAAAGTTACAGTAGCATTAATGAAAGCAATATTTTCAAGGCAATGGATGTTAAATTATTTTAACCTTTGGATGTTACTGTAGGTACTTATAGATATGTACATTTGTAGATTGCATTTTTTGGTTTATCATGATAAACGTCAGTACAAAATCAGCAATAAGTGATAGTGTATGTGTCCTTTATTTGTGACATCACAAATTATACTGTGTTGTAAATAATATTTGATTAAAAATTGCATATTCCTTTACATATAAATGAGTATTTTTTGTGAAATAAAAGTGACTAAACCAGAGAATGAAGAATTCATGCCTGGAGATCCTGTATCGGGCTTAATTAGGTATGAAGTAGATGAAAAAATTGTATTTAATAAAATAATTATTTCTTTGAAAGGATGTGGACGTTTACGTGTATTAGATAAACAAAATAATGAGCAACATGTGCACACGAATAAAGAAGAATACGTTTCTATTGATAACGTTGTAGTCGATGAAGAAGTTTCACTAGGCATAGGAGAATATGAAGCCAAATTTAGCTTTAAACTCCCAGAAAATATACCACCTACATTTATGTACCAAAATAATACAATTTATTGCCACATAAAATGCAAAATTTATTATTATATAAGAATTAAATTTTTTACCCCAGATTTATTACAACTGCCTATAAGTTTCAAGAAAGGGATTATAGTTGGAACAGCATTTGTACCAAGTTTACCAGGAAAACCAGCTAAATATTATAAAAAGAAGAAAATAGCGAAATTGACCAGAGGAAAGAATACGATAAGAATAAAAGCTGCTATTGAAAACTCGGTAATTGGTGATTGTGAGATAGTAAGATTTTGGTATGAAATTATTAATGATACACATGTGGAAATAAAAAGGGTCAAATTGAAATTAGTAGAAGCTTATGCTTTTAATGCAACAAGATTACAACGCGTCAAAAGGTTCAATAATATTAAAGGAATAGTATCTAGAACAGTAGCTGTTAAGAGCGGTGGTACAAGAAAGATATTTGAAATCATCATGCCATTTGATAAGAAAACATTACAATACTCCAAAATAGTTACAAGATATTACTTTGTAAAAATAAAAGTTATCCTACCATTGTTTCGTCAAAATTTTGCACTTAATATTCCAATTGAAGTCTTTAATGATATTAAAGAATCTGATCGTTTTGAGTTACCACGAGCATATTGGGAGGTGATGAGTGACTGCGCAAAGAGTAAAGATAAAGTGTTTAGTCGTGATGAAAAATGGACAACAGATGATGAACAATATATTTACTGTGATGATATTTGTAAAATAAAATTTTAAAATTAAAAAGTGTTTTGTACTCGTTTCTGTTTTTGTGTACTTTGTTTCTATTATACTTTACTGTGTTTTGTACTTTTTTCTAACAACTGTGTTTCAAATACAAATCTAAACTAACTTAGAACGACACATAAATACTTAATTTATATGAAATAAAAATCAGCCACAGCTCGCAGCTCTAAAACTTTACAACTAATTGCCTGAGGCTAAATTAAGTTTTATCTATTTAGTTCACGGAAATCTAATTAAGGCAGTCGGTTTGATATTATTAAGGAAGAGGGTTTATGACACAGCATAAAATTGTCTGCATTATTTTTCTATTTATAAAAAAAAATGGAAATAAAAAAAAATATAATAAAAAATTAATTAATAATTAATATTTGGAAATAATATAAAAATGTTTTTGTAATTAATTAAAACGTTAATGATATAATAAAGTTTCTCTTTAAATTACATTGATCATTTTGAGTTTCCATTTTTTTTATTGAATAAGATTTAATATATGAATAACTTATGAAGCCAAAACGGGGTAAGTTATTGATTATTAGAATAAGTTTCAAACATTAATTTTACGTTAATTAACATATATAACCCAATTTAGAAGTCTTCGTAAATGTTGCCGCTTCGGTTACAAATAAATTACTATAGAAATAACAGAAATAATCTTTATTCAAATAAATTTCATTACAAGCACTTCTGAATAGTCATATTTTTTTATTCTACCACTCATTCGGAACGCGGACTCACCACAGAGCAATTCATGTCATTTATTTTCAGTATATTTTATAAAAGTTTACTACCACTATGAGAATTGAATCAAAATTTATTTCACGTAAAATTATTTTAAAAATGAAAAGGTCACACAAATAATGTTTTGTTTTAATTGATGCGGATTTGAACATGTGCAGAACATTAAAAATAAGTCTATGCAAACAATAATTTGCAAATATGCTATAAAAAATTTAACACAGATTTATAAAAACATTGATTTCTACCTAGTGACGCAAGTTTATCATTAAAATATTAGGTTCGCGCCATAAATCGCCGCCATATTATCATCGCGCACAGAGTAGTATCCCCGCGGTGCAGAGTAGTTTAATGTTGTGTAACGTTTCCTGACAGCAGTAAGCTCATCTGTCATGAGTCCTGGGAAGACTCAGATATGGCCCGTCGGCTTATATGCTATTCCCTAAAGTACAAATACCCATAGCTGAATTTTTCACCTTTATTCATTGTTGTAATAAAATTTTATTTAAACGTAAATTGTATATTAATCAAGTACAATAAATTTACATATTTTTTTACTTCTTTATTAAATACTTAGCTGTATAATTTAGGCTGCCCTCTGCTTGTCTCATCGTTGTTACTAAATTCCAAAATATGGTTTAAGGCATTTTCATTATTTTCTGATTGTAGTCCTATTCTAATAGGAATTTTCCGCATTTTTGTTTATAGTTATATATATTTTTATAAAAGCACATAAGTATAGAATAGAATAGTCTCTCTAATCTCTCAATCACTAGATACTCATCCTCTATAAATATCAAAAATAGTCATCAAAATAGGTAAATATACTATTTTGACCGTTGATGTAAACTATAAATATAATTTAATTTTAATATAACATAATTAAGTACTTCTATTCATGACTAAAGTAGTTACTAAACACCGAATATTCTGGAAACGCATTACCACACCCTCAAAGTTGGGAGCGAGTAAAATTGCGCCAAAACTTCTGACATTATCACTTCATTCCTGTATCGCAAAAACATTTAGCGTACAATTTCGGTCTGCAATCTGCATTAACCAAGCCCAGCCAGTGTAATAAAACGTAACCGTTGCTTTTAGGTATCTAATAATCTTCATGACGCAGTGGATGATGAAATTCCGTATTCACATCTCGGTTGTAACAATTAAAGAAATATATCTTACTAGCTGTCCCGGCAAACTTTGTTTTGCCATATAAATTAATAATAAAAATGTTGGTGATAGAAAGGTGAAAATTTAGGGTAGTATATATTTTTTAATAACACATAATAAAAAATATAAATAAAAAAATTGCCAAAAAATAAAAAAAATATGTTAGGGGTGGACAACCCTTATCACTTAGGGGTGTAAAAAATTGATAGTGTAATGACCGATTTTTATGAAATTTTATATGCTTATTCAGAAGGTCTGAGAATCGACTATCATCTATTTTTCATAATAAATATTTTTTGCCACATATTTCATAGCTGCTCTGCTCATACAGATCGTACCTTTATATTATATAGCCTATAGGATGTAGGTATAATATAACTTTCCAAGTGTGAAAGAATTTTTAAAATCGGATTAGCAGAACTGGAGGTTACCCCGAAGATACATACATGCAAATACCTACCCAAACCTCTTTATAGAAATAATAAAGTGACTATGGATTAAGTGCATTAAAGTTAAATAAATTAATAAAAAAAATAAGTAAACTACTCGTCTACACAGATGCGCTGAAAACGATTTCGTCTATTTCCGCGAAATTTAACCAATATTTTGAATTAAACTAATGATACAAAAAATAGCCGATAAAATCCGTATCCATTTAAAATCTATTGCGCCACATAGATTATAAATTCTATAGATCTATAGAAACAAAGACTTCAAATAGAAACTATTTGCATTGATATTAAAAAAAAATAATCGTTCAGTATTGGGCAGTGAGTTATCAAATCGTTTGTGCGCTGGTGCAGTGCACTTTGATGGTATTAATAGCCATGATGCTTTGTGAATCTCTATGGCAGCTTTAGGGCTTTAGATACTGCAATATCAAACCAATCAAGGTCGGATAAGAGAAATATACACTACTACTTTATAAAAAGTATAGAGTGCCTTTATTAGAGAGTTTAAGAAAAACTTAAGCTGTATAAATATAAGGTCATTTCTATATAAGCTCTTTTCTATATATATATTGTAAAAAATCATCCCTGTATTTGATCAGTTGTCTAGTACGCATAACACAGGTTCGTTCGTTTAGTTCTACTTAGCTTGGGACTAGATGGCGTCGTTGTATTATACTATAATTTAGTTTTTGTTACTTTTTAATCTTACTCTTGTTCCATTATTCAGGATATTCGCAGAAAGTCTTCATTCACTCCCTGTGACCGATATATCTGGTCTTGATCTCCTTTTATACATATCATCTTTCACACATTCCACGCATCTTTTGTTCGTTCGTCTTTCCTTTTAATTTTATTCATGTCAATGCCGGATTAGCCTAGTTGTAAGCGTAGCAATTGGGGTACGCGCTTTGAGGGCCACCTAATACTTCTGGCTGAACATTGACAATAAAAAAATCTAGAAATATATGTTCACGCCTCTTAGTGAGAAGAGGGTCTTGATGGTGTAATCAAAATCGGAGATTCCAGGCTAGTTTTTTAATTTGAAAATAGTTTACAATGGTTGCGTATGATAATGCGTATATGATCGTTGACAGATTTTGAATATGAACTGTAATGGTTTGGTCTATGGCCCACTGAAATACCGACATTCCAGAGTTGCTATATTAAAATAATATATTGGGCCAAATATAGCACAACCGCACCTGAACATATATATATATATATATATTTAATTAACACAAAGTAAAAACTGTAATAATTTACTTTAATTATCATTTGTAAGTACTGTTTATAAAACCAAACTTGTGAACCGAAGCGATATTGGAGTGTCTTGAAAAATTTGCTACAGCACTCCGCTGAATATATACTCGTATATAGCACTGTAAAATTTTTAATATCATCGTCAAAACTATGTTCCATTACTTGTAACATATTATTTTGTTTAATTCCGCTACCATTAGTATGTGTGAGAGCACAAATATTCAGTGCGGAAACCTGACTACCGCTACTGGACTGGAAGCGTTACGGTAATCTCTATTGGTGATCAAATTCCGACCGATAAATTCTACACACATTGCAACACGTGTTTTGCTTCTGAACAAGGACAAAGAATAGATCTAGTGTACAGCACAGTAGCCTAAAGACATTATTAAACAAAGAATAGAGCTAGTATACAGCATAGTAGCATATTGTTGACTGGAGACTGTTTGGCGACTAAACTACGAGTACACTGCAAAATACTACCTAATTCGATAAAATATTGCACTTAACTACATTTTCTTAGATATAGTAATTAGAAATAATGTTAACAAATGAGGACTTATCTATAAAAGAGATCTCTTCCAGTCAACCCAATACAGCGTGGCATAGGAAGTGTTGAGTGGGTGAAATTGTGCAAATAATAATAAATACTACAAAGATAAATTTACAATGATGACACTAATCACATAGCAGTAGAAGGATAGTACGATTTTAACTTAAATATATGAATTACAATACGTTAACATTTTCAGCTTTGCCCAACTAGTTTCGCACTCGACATCAGCCGTTATTTATGAGCACGTCACGCGGTATCCCGCAGGCAGTTCGACACGCAACTGATATAAATCACTACAATTTAGCATTACTCATGACAGTTAATACCTACCTTCTAAATTCATAATTATAATTTATCACCGGCCAGACCCTTTTTTATGTAAGTCATTATAATAATAAGTTTTTATTTCATCTGCACAAATTATATTAGATTAAATTGATTCTAGTAGAAATAGAAATAATGTTTATTAAAATAAATCTAAGACAAGCGAACTTTTAATTAATTTTTTTACTTTTTTTATTCTACCACTCATTCGGAACGCAAACGATGAGTCTGAATGATAAGAAGAATGAGCTAGAAACTTGCGTCTTGCTCGTTTAAATATATGTAGATCAGAATTAGATATTTAAGATTTTTTTTTGTGAATATACCAATAGCACTAATTTATTACAATCAATAATAAAGACACAACCAACTGGTTGAGTAAATAAATAAGAATAAACGTAGACGATAGATATAAGACGTAGTGATTGGAGCAGACCAGAGCCTACAGCCGGACCCGTTCACTGTATAAATGCCAATGACAAAAATTGTAA